GGAAAATCCTACTTGTGCTTGGGTTAAACAGTAGTCTGCAAATTAGGGCTTTCAAACGATTAAAAAACGTGATTGCAATTAGTTGTGCAATTAAAAAAATAAGTCACAATTAATCGCAATTTTTTTAACAGAAAGACCCCAGAAAAGGAAACTCCACAGGAATCACAGCCATGTTAATATATTTTAAATGAATCTATTCCAATTTGTAAAAACTAATGTTGCTTAAGGACCATGCAGAAAATGACACTGGCATGAATAGGAAGATACACACTTTTGAGAACCAAAGAATGTTGTCACGGAAGCACCATTATTTAAATATTTTGACCTTAACAAAGAAAATAGTGTCATAAAGCCACAAAAATAGATTAGAAAAGCTAAGCATAATCCACAATGTCCACACAGGTGTAAGATGTGTAAGAACAAAGCCTAAGGTAGCCTGTTCTGGCCAGGCATGAACTTTTAAAACAACATGTCCTACAATGAAATCCAAGCAGACTCTTATTCATTTTAATGACCATTGGATCAGGCCCTAAATACAGAAAACAGAATGCAAATTCTGTGTGCAGAATGCAAATAGTGTGATAAATCACACTAGATTCCTGACAGCTGACATAGGGAGAGTTACAAGAGAAGTACTCCAAAAACATCAAGTAGTTGCCTCCTCACTACAAAGGACAGCAGAAGAAAAGAAATCTGTATAGCACTTTGGTAAACTACACTGCAATATCTAAGTGTAAGATATCAATATTTTGGGTCTAATGAACTAAGTATTGCAGCTGTGCCGAGAAAATAGTAGAAAACATTTAACATTCACATGTGAACACCAAGATTTTTCTGTTTGACAAATTCCAGCAAAATGTCACATTTAGCTATGGTGGTTCTGAGAATGTGGTGATTTTATCAAGGCCTGATAGCTCCCCTTGCCCCAAATCCTTTCCAATAATAGTGCTTAAGGGATAAGAAAGAAGAAAAGTAAAATCTGAATTTAATGACCATTTTGCTCCAGAGAGCAAGGCTGGTCCCACTCTTCTGCTCACTAGCTGGAGCAGTGAGGGCTGGCTCACTGGCCCCCTCAGGCAAACCCCAGCTGGGGTCTGGGGCTAGGGAGCAGAGTTAAACTCACCTTCCCCTGTGTTACCTGTGACTGTGGATTACAAATCCCAGAAGCAACTAGAAGCAGGATGAGCAACCCTCTGGAAGAAGTGATAAGTAACCCTGCAGACTCCTGCTGCTGTGATTGTGAACTGCAAATCCCAGAGACCTTGGCGGCAGCAGGAAGAAGTGAACACACAGCCCAAGTTGGCTACATGCCAGAGAACCATGCTCAATTGTCCCCTAGCTTCCGACTTGAGCCACAGCAGGCATGTGGCTGCATTTCCTGAATCAAAGTGAATGTCTATTCACTTGCTTATTGGTTCAATCTTTACTGCTTAGACTAACCTGCAAAAACTAAATCAATTCAGCCTTGGGCTTTTTGATTGTCTGTATGTACTTAGCCTTTAGCACAATCTGGAGGCAGTAACTAGGGAGATAAAAGTCATTATTTTATGACTTAGGTGCTGCAAGAAAATCATTTCATCTTCTTATATACCACCCTTTAGGTACCTCCATTTGAAAGTCTGCCAAGTGCCTGGATCAGACACATCTTTTGTTGCTTTTAGCAAATGTCAGTAAGCCACTGAGGTGACTTGGTCTATCCTATTATTAGCTCTTTAGTTTTAGTGCTAGAGACCTGGGTTTTACAGTCCTCATGATCCAACCAGGAAGCCATTTTATCATATTTTATGGAATCTCATGTTCTCAGGTAAGTAATCTTAACAACCAAAACATACCTAATTAAAATGCTTATTAGGGCTGTGCAAAACAGCACCATACATTTCCACTTCTGTTTCGCTGGTTCGATGGGACAGTGTTTCATTTCAAGTTTTGTTGTTTCAAAGCACTGTTCCATTTTGTTTAGTCAAAGCTGTTTCGCTGTTTCAATGTTTCACGCATAGGCTATAATGGGGAAGCACAAAACTGCCTATAACTTTGTCATTTGGTACCTTATTTGGATGAAACTCGCAGGGATGGTAGCCCGTTCTGCCATCATGAAGCCTGCCAAGTTTCAAGGAGATAGGTGCAGGGGTTTCTGGGAAATTGCACCTCATGCTGCTGACAAGCAAAACTCATGTCACCTGTGTGTGTTAAGGCACACCAGGGTGAAAACTGCAAGCATGGTAGCCCCTGTTAAGGCCATGAAGCTTACCAGCTTTCAAGGAGATAAGTGCAGGGGTTTCTGGGAAACTGCACCTCAAACTGTTCAGAGCAAAACTTGTGTCACTTGTAAGTGTGAAGGCACAGAGAAAACTCAGTTCAAACAATGCTTTTTATGCTGTTTTTCTGTCCCTCCCCCAGAGCACTGGGATTGGAAGGGACCTCAGGGAAGGATCACAGTCACTGGCCAGCTACACATGTCAATATCAGAGCAGTCCTTCCTCCCTTCCCCCTCTTCCTCCTCCCTCTCCTTAGTTTTTCTTCAGCTGCAAGCAAGCCCAGATTGAAACTTTCAAAACATTTAGACTGCTCTCGTTTTGTTTCAAGGCTGTTTCGAAGCCTTTTGTTTCTTTTCGATTTTGCTATTTCAAGCTCGAACTGAGTCAAAACAGCGTTGAAACGAAATAGCCAGCGAAATTTCGCACAGCCCTAATGCTTATCAGAGAATTGGAAGAAAAAGTACACATTTAATAAAACAATACTGAGTAAATATTTCCTGATTTAATCTGTAAGAGTAAAGACTGAGAGCATTCAAATCTGTGAATGATTCAAATTCAGCCCCAGCGAAAGAAGGCACAGCCGCTATTGTCTTCAATAGGAAGCCTGAATTTCATCCTTTGTTTTCTACAGTCTTGCCAATTTCAGGAACACAGGGTTATCTTTGCACCATATTGTCATATTATCATTGCTTTCTGGCAGTGGCAACAGTTGATGACTACAGAATGCTTGTACATGCCTCAGTTTTCATTAATGTTTCCTCCATAGCTGCAGAAAAATCAATTTGTCATTTACCCAATGCAGAATATCTAACATTTAACAAGCCATTTAAAATGCAACACCGTGCACTTTAAATGTTTACTAAGGATATGTGGAAGACTTGGGAAAACATAACAGTAAAGCTGTTCACTGATAAATAATTGCTCATTGTCCCTTGATCTAGGACTGTCTATAATGAGCAACTCCAAGCATGCTTAAAGACTGCAGTGAGCAACTAACACAGCAACTGAATCATCATAAAGCACTGGCCTATTCTTCAAATACAAAGAACGATTGAAAAGTTAAGTGAAGAACCAATTATTTGCGAATTGCGCTCCCTATCACTAATAAACCCATTCAGAGTACACATAAGACTTTCCTGATTTTTCAGAGAGAATTACTTGCAAACTTCTGATTACTCAGTCACGTGCTTCAAGGAACACTTTCCCCACATAGTCCCCCAAGACATAAGGCTCATAGAGCCATTTTCAATGCTCCATCTTAAAAGACCATTTTAAACCAATATGAGGTTTCCAGTTCATTTTTGTCTAACTTTTAGTTAAAATGGTGATTCTCAACCAGTGTGCCGGGAAACCCCAGGATGCCCGAAGATCTGTTGAGGGGATGCTTCAGGAAGTGAGGCTGCAGATAAATGAGGTGTGAGAAGATAAGTAGATAATGGCAGGCTCATGCTTTCCCTGCTTGGCTGCTATCCCACCCCAATGCCTCACCCCTCTGCAAAGAGGTTAAGCATTGTAATAAATCAATTTCTGAAATGGGGTGCTGCTCAATTCAAAAAAGTTACTGATGGGTGCCTCAAGTCTAATGAGAAGTTCCTTTAGTCTAAAAAGGTTAAGAACCATTGAATTACACAGTCCTTCTGTTATGAAACTGTTGTGTTAAAAAGTCTGGCATCTTTGAAGGCGCTGTAAAATCCTTTTTCTACTGAATGCATATTGTTATTGTACTAAAACTGCTGATTTACCCGGCACTCCAACTTGCCACCTTATTTCCCAGCTGAATTCTTTTTTGAGAAAGAACTTGATCACTATTGCAGAATATGCTGGCTAGTGACCACCCTTCTAGAGGTGTGAGGAAATGAGTACATTGTCTCGTCTTCAAGGAAAAAATAAATTGAGCTCTACCCTCTTGAACACATTTGAACTACTCCTCCTTCACAACCCCTTCATTATTCTGAGCCTGGAATCATTATTATTATGAATTTAGGATGGAACAATCACGTGTACAACCTGGGCACTGACTGGCTATGAAGCAGATCTGCTCAAAAAAGAACCTGGGGGTTACTGTGGACAAGAAGCTGCATACAAGCCCGCAATGTGCCCTTATTACCAAGAAAGCTAACACCAGGCTGCATCAGTAGGAGTGTTGACAGCAGATCAAGGGAAGTGATTATTCCCCTCTATTCAGCACTGGCGAGGCCACATCTGGAGTACTGTGTCCAGTTTACAGAAAGGATGTAAATAAATTGTAGAGAGTCCAGCAGAGGGCAATGAAAATGGTTAGGAGGCTGGGGAATGTGATTTATGAGGAAAGTCTGACAAAACTGGGCTTATTTAGTCTAGAGAAGAGAAG